GCTGCCTGGTCCTTTTTAACTGAAGATGCTGGGGACTGAACCTGGGACCTCCTGCATGCCAAGCAGATGCTCTGCCACTGAGCCACGGCCCCACCCCTATCATATCATTGAGGAGGACCCTAGCCCACTTCAACTGAGGTAACTCTCTTCTGCAAAGGGCCCCAGTGGACGAACCAGCCCATGCAGCCCACCTCTCTGAGATTCCGCTCTGACTCCCGCGGCTGACCCAACAGCTGCTGTCAGTGGCTTTGCTATCAAAGCTCTGCCGTTCCGAAGCGTTTTACCTTGAGCGATATCATCCTGCCTCTGAAGAGACGGCCGCTCGCTCTTGTTCACTTGCTGCGGAGGCTCTCTCTCCTGCTGCGGCTTGGGGTACTTCCCTTCATTGAACACCTGGGGGAGGTTCGCTGTGTGGACCTGCCGAAGCTGTTCATAGTCACTCAGGGCGGCAGACAGATCCCAGTTTTTGCCTAGAAAGAGGGCCAAGAAGAACAGGGTTAATTCCCACATGCATGTTAACGGACAGTGAGTATGGAGCTGTGGTGGCTCAAGTGGTTAAGACCCTGAACTGCAGGCTGTGGAAGGTCGGTAGTTCAGCAGTTCGAGACCCGGGTTGCCGCATGACGGAGTGAGCTCCCGTCTCTAGTTCCAGCTCTTGCCAACCTAGCAGTTCGAAAGCAAGAAATTGCAAGTAGATAAATAGGTACAACTTCGGTGGGAAGGTAACAGCGTTCCATGCGCCTTGGTGTTTAGTCATGCCGGCCACATGACCAGGGGAACGTCTTCGGACAGCGCTGGCTCTTCGGCTTTGAAACAGAGATGAGCACCGCAACCCTAGAGTCGGATTCGACTGGCTTTCGAGCAAGGGAACCTTTACCTTTACCTTTTATGGAAGCAACAAGGGCGTGAAGACATGAAGGTGCCTTATACCTTGGTCCATCAAGGTAGAGATTGTCAACTCAGACTGGCAGCAGCTCTCCAGAGGGCTTTCACATCACCTCCTCCATGGTCCTTTTAACTGGAGATGCCGGGGATTGAACCTGGGACCTTCTGCATGCCAAGCAGAGGCTCTTCCACTGAGCCACGGCCCCTGCCCTATAATACACGAACACATGAAGCTGCCTTCTACTGAACCAGACCCTTGGTCCACCAAGGTCAGTATTGTCTACTCAGACAGGCAGCAGCTCTCCAGGGTCTCCGGCTGAGGTCTTTCCCATCATCTACTGCTTTGTCCTTTCAACTGGAGATGCCGGGGATCGAACCTGGGGCTTTCTGCATGCCAAGCAAGGCTTTGAGCCACAGCCCCTCCCCAGCAGTTCTGGATTAAGTAAAGTGGGGTAAAAGGATCGTGTGCTGCATATGCACACCAAGAACTCTGTTCTTAGCATATTTTGGAGTTTTAATGTATACGTTATATGTATGTTCTGTAAGCCGCCCTGAGGCCTGCTACGGCGGGGGGGAGGGATACACGTTTAATGCAATAAATAAATAAACAAACAGGACTTGGCTTTAGAGGCTCAGTCGGTATTCTGCCTTTCATTCCTTTACTGTGACAAAGAATGAGAACTGCTGTTCAAAAGTGCCCCCCACCCCTTTTTAGCATCACACTTGGATGTCCCCACAGGTAGGTTAAATATGGACTAAGGCAGAATGCCAGACTACCCAAAAGAAACAGAATAATAATCGCTCCTGCCTTTGTTATTAGATGACATTATTTATTACGACGCAGAGGAAAAGAGTGTTAGGCTACCCTTTAGACAAGGGAAAACATACGGCACTTCATTGCCTTAACAAAATATTGAAATACAAGGAAACAATCTGCTGAAGTCCAGATGATGGATGTCCCAACCCTCATTAAGTAGAAGGTTTTTAAGGAAAAAATATCCTTTAACACAAGGGTGTCAAACATGCAGTTTGGGGCCCAAATCAGGCCCCCAGAGGGCTTCTATCAGGCCCTCAGTGGAACTGGCTGTTTTCTGCTTCTTCTTCCAGTTTTGCTGCTACTGTGTCATCGTAGGTTTGCAGCTTACAGATACACACCTGAACAGCATACTCAAGATTGCAACAGCACAGACATTTTGATGCAATAATTCAGAGCAAGAGGTGTCAGTTATCAGACTGCTAAATAAACAAAATATTGCAAGAGTGCTAATGTTTTAAGCATGAATGAAAGAAAAAAAACACCTTTGTGTTCGTGTCCTTTATAAAGTATGCATCTCCGCTACCTGGCATTACATTTTATGACGCACATGGCCCGGCCCAACAAGGTCTCATTTATGTCAGATCCGGCCCTCATAACAAATGAGTTCGACACCCCTGCATACTCAAGAAAAAGTAGAAGACACAATACAATTTTTTAAAAATATTCTACATTTAATAACGATTTCATGCATGAACTTACAATTCCATCCTCTCACACTGAATGAGGTATAACCACTCTGTTGCCTTTAAGTTCTTTAGTTCTCATGTGAAAATAGTTCCATTCATACCCATACAAGCCCTGTCTCATTTTGCTCTTCAAAGGTACCGCACTAACAAAAACCCAACAGTAAAAACGTTAATTGTTAACTTCGTCCTCTCTTAGTTGTTCAGATCTAAATTGGATCTCTGTTCTCCAAAATATGTTTGACCAAATCTATTTTGAACGTGTGCTGCCCACACTGTCATGAGAAGAGAATATAACGAAAAGGCTCTCTGTGCTTTAATTAGCAAAATGCATTACTACCCATGTGGTCCATAATACACAAGCTCAGTCAATCCGAAACAGCTTTATTTTATAATTCAGTGGATTCAGTGGAAGAATATTTCTAAGATGACACATTTTATACACTGAAAGCCTGATTGGGAGGAGGAAGAACATGAAGCTGCCCTATGCTGAATCAGGCCCTCGGTCCATCAAAGTCAGTATTGTCTACTCAGACTGGCAGCCCACCTAGCGGTTCGAAAGCAAAATAACATCGAAGAGCGAGTAGATAAATGGGTACCTGCCCTAGGTGGCAGGGGGCACCCTCCTCCATTGTGGGGTCTGATGGAGCATCGGCGGGTCTCATTTATGTCAGATCCGGCCCTCATAACAAATGAGTTCGACACCCCTGCTTTAACGCATACTCCAGAAAAAAGTAGAAAACACGATACAAGTTTTTAAAATATTCCACATTTAATAACGATTTCATGCAAGAACTTAAGGGAAATTCCATCCTCTCACACTGAATGAGGTATAACCACTCCGTTGCCTTTAAATTCTTTAGTTCTCATGTGAAAATAGTTCCATTCATACCCATACAAGCCCTGTCTCATTTTGCTCTTCAAAGGTACCGCACTAACAAAAACCCAACAGTAAAAACGTTAATTGTTAACTTCGTCCTCTCTTAGTTGTTCAGATCTAAATTGGATCTCTGTTCTCCAAAATATGTTTGACCAAATCTATTTTGAACGTGTGCTGCCCACACTGTCATGAGAAGAGAATATAACGAAAAGGCTCTCTGTGCTTTAATTAGCAAAATGCATTACTACCCATGTGGTCCATAATACACAAGCTCAGTCAATCCGAAACAGCTTTATTTTATAATTCAGTGGATTCAGTGGAAGAATATTTCTAAGATGACACATTTTATACACTGAAAGCCTGATTAGGAGGAGGAAGAACATGAAGCTGCCCTATGCTGAATCAGGCCCTCGGTCCATCAAAGTCAGTATTGTCTACTCAGACTGGCAGCCCACCTAGCGGTTCGAAAGCAAAATAACATCGAAGAGCGAGTAGATAAATGGGTACCTGCCCTAGGTGGCAGGGGGCACCCTCCTCCATTGTGGGGTCTGATGGAGCATCGGCGGCGAGCAGCGACGGCGGAATGACGAGCGGTGGTGGCGACGAATGAAGTGGCAATCAGTGGCGGCAAGGAGGCACAACACCAGCGGTGGATCGGACGTCGGCGGAGCCAGAGGACGCAAAGGACGTAGAGGCACAGGCGCGGCAGAGCCATAAACGGACAGAGCCGGAGCCGCGCTGACGCAAACCGCGCGCCAGATGGGTCCGCCGAATACAGCCGACGCCGAAGACCACCGGAAGGAGAAGAAGAGGAGCCAAACCGAAAGCCGAGCTGATAATAAGCCGAACCGGAAAAAGAACAGCAAGTCCCTCCACTGGGTGCCAGTAGGGCAGTCCCCACCCCTGAATGTGTGTGGCCATCGATAGGGATAAAGAGTAACTGTGAGCCGCTCAGAGACCCCTCGGGGTTCGAGCGGGATACAAGCTGAAAGCATAAATAAATTAATTAATATTTTCCCCCTCCAAAGAACCACAATACCAAACTACCTGACCAGGAAAGCCCAGACTAGTCCGATCCCGTCAGATCACGGAAGCTAAGCAGGGTCGGCTCTGGCTAGTATTCGGATAGGTGAGCTCCAAGGAATACCAGGGTCGTGATGGAGGTGCAGGTGATGGCAAAACCACCTCTGAAACGTCTCTTGCCTTGGAAACAAGTCTAGCTCACCACCTAGTGGTGCACAATCCTAAAAGAGCCAGAACTTCTGGCTGCCAGACAATCTTAGGATATACTCCTGGATATACTACCCATGCTGCCATACGATAGTTATTCATTACTAGTTACCAAACTACCTGACCAATGAGGTATCACCATCAGATCCACCATCACATATACACCAACACAGATACCACGTTTTAATTGGATAGCTGTTCTCTGCCGCACAAAGATTGTCAAAGGAATGGAAGGATTGCTGGAGGGGCTGTGGCTCAGTGGGAGAGCATCCACTTGGCATGCAGAAGGTCCCAAGTTCAATCCCCGGCATCTCCAGTTAAATTATTTTTGTATTTATTTAATTTCTCTTCCCCCCCCCCCGCCAAAGCAGGCTCAAGGCAGCTTACATAAGAAGAACAGGCAGCAGGTGATGGGAAAGACCTCTGCCTGAGACCCTGGAGAGCGGCTGCCAGTCTGAGCACGGACTTTGATGGACCAAGGGCCTGACTCAGCATAGGGCAGCTTCATGTCTTCATGAAAAATCCCACCTTACACCACAAATTGATATCAAAATTATTTTTTAAGCCTGCTTAAACGGTAAAAAGTAAAGGTTTTCCCTTGCTCGAAAGCCAGTCGAATCTCACTCTAGGGGGCGGTGCTCATCTCCGTTTCCAAGCCAAAGAGCCAGCGCTGTCCAAAGATGTCTCCGTGGTCATGTGGCCTGCATGACTAAACACCGAGGTGCACGGAACGCTGTGACCTTCCCACCGAAGTGGTCCCTATTTATTTACTTGCAATTTCTTGCTTTCGAACTGCTAGGTTGGCAGGAGCCGGGACCAGAGACGGGAGCTCACTCTGTCATGCGGCACTCGGGTCTCGAACTGCCGAACTACCGACCTTCCAGTCTGCAGCTCAGTGTCTTAACCTCTGAGCCACCCCCTTTAAGCTCTCTATAAAATAATGCTAGGAAAAGCGGAAGGCAGCAGGAAAAGAGG